TTGTCTCCAATGCAGTCCAAGAACTTATTGGATATTCTGTGCCCCGCAGTGTTATTTTCCCAACATATGTCTGGATAGTTGAAGTCCCCCATCACCACCAAATCTTGGGCTTTGGATGATTTTGTTAGTTGTTTAAAAAAAGCCTCATCCACTTCTTCCACCTGGGTAGGTGGCCTGTAGTAGACTCCTAGCATGACATCACCTTTGTTTTTAATCCCTTTTAGCCTAACACAGAGACTCTCAACATTTCCGTCTCCTATGCCCACCTCCACCTCACTCCAAGTGTGTTCATTTTTAATGTATAAGGCAACACCTCCTCCCTTTTTCCCCCTGTCTATTCTTCCTGAGCAAGCTGTACCCTTCTATACAAACATTCCAATCATGTGTATTATCCCACCAAGTTTCCGTGATGCCAACAATGTCATAATTGTACTTATTTAGTAGCACTTCCAGTTCTCCTTAATCCAAATCAAAAGTCATTATAAATGGTTGGTCTTAGTATAGGGGAAGCATTGCATAAATGAGAGCAAAATGTGACCTGAGGACTTCTTCTATAACTCACTCTAGTGTTAAAGAAACATAAAGAAGCCTTGTGATCGGAGGTGCAACACAAAGATGTAAACATTTCCCTAATTTCAGTTGGAATGTAAGTGGGCTGGGAAACTATTTAACCTACCAAACAATGAAGGCAACAATTGTTCTTTGTCTATGTAGAATCTCATGATACCATCTACATATTTTGTTAGTCTTTAAGTGCTACCAAACTATTTGTTGTTTCCTAATTAATGATTCTTATCTGCCCCTTTTGACTATACAGTCTTAGGTACTTGTTTTTCCTATTACATTTCAGCTGGTTTTCCCCTTGATATTTTTTACCCACTGCCTCTTCTTGTTTCCCTCCTCCCATATTTTTCCTCTTCTACCCGCCCTCCCTTCTCACCTCTTTATTTTGGTCCTGGACATCCAACACTCTGGTCATCTGAAGAAGTGGGCTGTGCCCACGAAAGCTCATGATACCATCTACTTGTTTTGTTAGTCTTTAACGTGCTACCAGACTATTTGTTGTTTTTTAAGTTTATTTAAACAAACCAACACACTTTTTTCCCCATTGCCTGTATTTTAACTTATACTCAAGATTAAACTTCTCCAGACAGCTATTTCCTCTTTATATGCGAAAAAATATATGGTTGCAGAAAGACCCAGACATTTGACTTTCCTCAGGAAAATACAGTGAGTAGCAATAGCTAAATGTAGTGGGGATGAGGCATAATTGAAAACCAACTTGGATAGAGTTATCGGAGCTTGCAGTAACTCAGCGATTTAATGTTGCAAAGGCTCATGTGTAGAACCCTGCAAATCTGTGAATATCTGCTTTATAGCCACAGGTATCCACATCTGTGGATGTGGCTAGTCGAGGCTCATTTTTATGGATACAGCTGCGTATGTGAATACAAATTTTGTATCTAAAACTCTGCAAATTTGTAGATATCCACTTTATATCTGTGGGTATCTGCATCCCATGTGCAGCATAATTTTGCGGCTACACTTGGATGTAGATATGAAATTTTGTATCCTCTCAGGGTTCTACTCATGTGAATTCTTCTATGGTTTGGACGGAGGCTTGCAACTCAAGAGTTTCCCTCTGAGATTCAGGTTCAGAGAAATCCTAAATATCACCAAATTTCTCAGTGTCTAAATAGATATGAATTCAAGTATCTGGATGCAAACTCTCAATAAGCCCAGGGATGCTCAGGCCCAAAGATTTGATTCAGACCACTATATGGGAGGCTATAAAGCCAGCTGCAACGTTCGAGTTAGGACTTTCACAGTGCACATGAGTGTTCTAATTCAGCCGAATGTAGAAATGGAGCCAGCTACAGAGTTCAGGTCTGATTCTGAACGCTCTCAAATGGTGGAGGTGGGGGTTGTTGTATTTTTGGTGGGTGGTATCTCTAATTGGAGAGCTTGTAACTGAAATGGGTCACAAAGCTGTCAATTAAGCTGCTCAAAGTTTAGAGTTCAGAATGAGATCCCGAACCAGACAAATGTTATCTGTGTTTTGACTGGATGCTTGGAGATTTGCAGAAACTTTAATTGCACATTTAGTAAGGAAACAATATGAGATCAGTAACAGAGAGATCTGCATTTGACAGTAAGCGTTTTTAGGAGGAGGATTTACCATGCTCACACATGGTGAGCATGGTAGCAGCATACCAGCAAATTTGCATTGAGCTACATCACCTACTTAGTTTATGTAAGATGAAATTAATCTCCCTCTTTAGATGTCTCCCTACACTGATTTATTTCCGTATGACAATTTCTACTATTTTATTAATGGGCAAATTAAAAAAAAAAACCAAACCATTAATATAGGCTGCAAGGATGCTGATATGTAAAATGTACACTAGTGACTGTCACTTATTATACAGATATCACACCTGATGAACAAAGTTACTCAGGGTAATTCGTATAGGCGACCTGCAGAGTCCTGGGCTGGAGGACCTGCCAAATGCAATGTGATACATGAAGGACTGCTGGATTTGCAGCAAGACAGTTTGGCATCCGTTAAATGGGTGAAGTATGAAATATCTTTTTCTTTTTATAGAAATTACAGCCATCTCTCAAATGCAGTAAGGGAGTGAATGGCTTTTTCACAGGCTCTGATAATGATCTAAAACTAGAGTTTTAATGTGTGGCTCAAGAAATGTTATGCTAGTTTACTAATTCAGGGACTCAGTTCATCTGAAATGAAGAACACATAAGGTAAGCGTTATTAGTAAGCTTGAAATAACACTGAGCACAATGGAGATCAGATGCATGACCGTGGCTCCTAGATTCTACTGCAATAAAAATTAATAGTAATAATAATACATAATAAAAAAAGTGACTTTAATAGATGAGCTGGAGAATTTCCTTCTCCTTCACCTTCATGGTTTTCTTTTTTACCTTTATAACCACTCCATTTTCAACCACTAACGAAAGTAAGTAAATTTTCTGTCACAGCGGCTGAAGAAGGTAAGTACGTACCATAAGTTCTCTGCCAGAGGACAACGTTTTCTCTCACTGAACAAATGACTGTTCTGCAACCAGTAATTCATTCTCTGTCATCCTTTTGGCCTTCCTGCAGAAATGACAAACCACTGCCCTAAACGGAGTGGTGACTTTAGAGCTATAAATAATTATCTGCTAGGATTTAGACTGCAACCTCCAATTCATTTAACACAGGCCACTAAACAGCCATCTGCTGGTAACAATGACTTTTTTTGTTACCTCTTGACCATTATTGAACTAGGGACCTCTCAGTGAAGACTTGAAAATGCCTCTTCAGTTTGTTCTGTGCCCACAGTGTCATAAGATTTGGGGGGAGGAGCCCATGGAGACCTCTCATAATGCAAAAAAGGGAAACATTTAACATTGTAATTATTTGCACATAGCAATTATCTTGAAGACTTCAGCATTCCCAGGAAATGATTTTAATTGTTTTTTAAAAGGTCACTACTGTGTTTCTTATAAACAATATCCTCAGGAGCATCTTAGGAATTGCTATCATGCTACATTTAACAGGTTCACTAACAAACAAAAATTGACTTTTATTTATCTTGCAAGGCAAAACCTTCCTTGCTTCCCACATAATATTAATCCTCTTTCTTTTTAGCACGGTAAATAATGGCAGAGACATCCAGTGATCCTATTAAGCCATAAGTCCCTGTTTTAAAAGAAGAAGTGATCAATATAATTGCCAGCTCCATTTAACAATTCTTATCACTTTGACGCAGTGTGTAGGCATAGCTGTAACTTACATTTTGTTTTATGTTTTCTTCTCCATAGTAACTAAACTTGTTTAAATTAAGCTCCTATGGCTAGTGATGAGATACAAGATGAGGAGGGTTCTGAGTTACTGCAGAGAATTCTTTCACGGGTCTCTGACTAATGGGTCTTGCCCACATACTCAAGGTCTAAATGGAGTTTGAAAAGCATTTTCCCCTGGGACAGATTGTCAGAAAAAACTGTGGATTTTTCTTTCCCTTACTCTGCAGCATGTGTCACTTGCAGATTTAAATGGTTGAATTTTCTGTAACTTGCAATCTTTAAATCTTCAGTAACTCAGCCAGAGGTTGTGAGTTTGTTACAGGAATGGGGGTGGAGGGTGAGGGGGGGTAAATGAGGTTCTGTGGCTTACAATGTGCAGGAGTCAGACTAGATGATCATGTCTGACCTCCAAATCTATTAGAGTAATTCCTCATAATCCTTTAATCAACCTGACACACCTTGGGGAGAAGTAGGGGGGGGGGGAGCACCATTGAAATTAGTGTTAGTGTGATAAAGAAATAAAATAATGCCTTAGAGAAGGACCTTTATTAAAGTAGGGGCTAGAAGATGCAATCAAGATCATGGTCTTCTTGTGACAGAGGCTGTCGATAGTGCAACAGTCCATGGGAGCTTACAATCTAAATAGACAAAAGAGAGGGTGAGAGAGAAACAGTCATAGAAAGGTGAAGAAACATTCCCAAGGACACACAGCAATTATGTGGCAGAGCTAAATTTACATCCCAGGTCTCCTGACTCCCAGTTCAATGCCCTAGCCACGAGACAATACTGCCTTCTCTGCCTTTAATGTCTCCTTCTATATAGTTTAACTTGCATTCACTCGGGTATTTTCTCTTCCTCCACATTGCAGAGGAGACAGTCAGGGAACGGGGAGGTGGGTCAGAACCAAGGCTAGTCTTGAGAGCAGAAGAATTTGAGCCTTATGTTGTCGTATAAAACTTACAGTAGTCCCTGGAGGCCAAGTGTCTCAAAACCCCATTGTGCTAGGTCTGTATTCCAAAGTACAGTAAACTAGAAGATGTACCCATCATTGCTTGGGTCCTTAACTCTATGTTTGTTTTTCTTCATGTAAATCATTGCACTGGGGTGAGCCTGGGGAATGAGAGGTTCATTGTGCAGGCTGCCCTTGGGAGAGAGAATAACCCCCAGCCTCTCTCACCACATCAGCTTGTGACCAGGTGAGAAGTGCCTCTTCATGGCTGCTTCAGCAGGCACAGCCCCGGGTGGGTGTATGTCCCCTGACTGGGGTAGGTCCAGTGTGTCCCTGCACTCTCCAGCCAGAGTGTGCACAGTCTCTTCACTCCCTGATGAAGAGAACAGCCAGCAATTTCCCCATAAGAATGGGGTGGTAAGGTGGGAGCTTCAGCACCCCTCCCACCTTCTCCAAAAGACGCCTGGGGGTGGGAGACTCAGAGCTGGGGCAATCCCAGATTTGGTTGGGGTGGGGGATGGGAGGGAAAGGGTCATGTATTCAGCCAGGCCCTTTCACCAGCCTGGTGATTCTGTCTTTTCTGTATGGTTTTATGAGAAGCAATCCCAGGCACATCCCATTTTCCTGGCACAACCAAACCCTTATCTTGCTTTAAGCTATGATAAGTGGAAGCTATACACCAAATTTGACAATCCTAGTGTAACCCACACACCTACTGGGTGTGGTTCACTGTCCCATGTAGTGGCACTTAGACACTTACAGAGAATAAGAATGAGTGTGTTCTACAGCCTTAGCTGAGAGTTCACTGGCTTTTACCTCAAACAGTACAGGCTCATGCTCTAAGCTCCAGAAGTCCCAGGTTTGGTTCCACCTGTTTGCATTACACGAGCTCTTACCATTTAGGAGGAGTTTTTGAACAGACAGACAGATTCTCTCAGATAGGGTATGTCTACACTACCCCGCTGGTTTGAACTAGCGGGGTAATGTAGGCATACCGCACTTGCAAATGAAGCCCGGGATTTGAATTTCCCAGGCTTCATTTGCATAAGCGGGGTGCCGCCATTTTTAAAACCCCGCTGGTTCGAACCCCGTGCAGCGCGGCTACACGGGGCACGAACTAGTAGTTCGAACTAGGCTTCCTAGTTCGAACTACTGTTACCCCTTGTGAAATGAGGAGTAACGGTAGTTCGTGCCCCATGTAGCCGCGCTGCACGGGGTTCAAACGAGCAGGGATTTAAAAATGGCGGGCCCCCCCCTTTGCAAAAGAAAACC